ACTGAATCAAAGACTGGCACATAGTAGGCACTCAATAAAGCTGTTGCATCTTGAGTGAACAACTGAGTAAGCAATCAACCCTGGAAGGCCACGACTCGTGCCCCGACTTTAAAACTCAGAAAGGCTTAGTAGGACAATGGCAACCCACAGCTACAGGCTGAACTTAGGCCTATCTGACTCCATGCTCTCCCACGCCTGACACACTGCTTCTGTTCACATTCTGCAGGTTCCTCCACCTGGGGCCAAGAAATTTGGATGCAGCTTGGCACTTGTAGCCCAAGCTTCTGTAGAGAGCAAATGGCCCTTTCCCGAGGTCTGGTGGCAGCCTGCAGTGTTTGGCTTGAACCTCAGAGGCCAAGCGTTTCTTGCTCAGGCGGCTTTCTTTCACATCCAAACCCTGTTCCTTCCCCACGTGGTCTTCTTTGATCCAGGGACAACGTCCCTCTCAAGTCAGGGGCTGGTTGCTGAAATCCACATGGTCTTCTTTCTTGTAGATCAAAGAGGTTCCACAAAGCTCAGTGCCTCCCAGGGACCTCTGCTTTTGAAAAAGCGCGAAGAGTGACATACAGCAGAGAGAAGTTACAGGCCTTCTCTTTCCTTCTGCCAGCTGAAACAAGTTTTCATGGGCCAGGAGCCTTGGGACAGGCCTCCTTGGAGGTCAGCCTCACACCTGCTCTGCCCCTGATCCTAGATGGTCTCTATTCTCCCTTAGTCTGGGCTATTTCCCCAGATAGAGCCCACCTTTCGGCCAGGAACATGGCATTTCCTATACAAAGCAGAGGCACACAGTCCTCCAACCTGTTCCTGGAAGCCCTGGATTCAAAGACCCTGTGTCACTCAGGGCTGCTGGGCTAATCCAGTCTAGTAATTTCCCTTTGGGGCTTATATGCCTACATGATCCTGCTGGTGAATTAGACCTATCCAGCCATCCATTCATTCAGCAAATATTTATGGACCACTGCCCAGTGGATGAGGTTTATCTACTCACAGATGCCAGCACTTGAGAGTTCTACATCAGAGGAAGAAAGGCCAAAAGGCTTTAATCCTTCCTGAGCATGAACCCGTTAACTGTGGCATGACTGCTGCTCCTAGCATGGCGTGGCACACAGCGAGCACCCTCTGCTCCTATTTAGCTTGGCCTCCTCCTAAGGAAGGGCAGTTTGCAAATTCACTTTCAAGAAATCACTCACATTATTGAGGGTGCCTCTCAGGCTACTCTTGCAGCTTGGCAAATGAGAATAGAGAAATAGACCTCAAGTAAAGGAGTGAGGGGAGGCTCTAGGGGCTCGGAGAGTGGGACCAGCTATATCTGAGCCCACTCAGACACCAGAGAGTCTCCAGGGCTGAAAGCCCTCCTGAAAACGAGATTCGACGTCCTCGGCTGCCTTCCCTGGTGTGTTTGGAAGGGAGCATTCCTTGATATGGCTAAACTGGAAGCTACTTAGAGAGGACTTAGAAAGCTCAGTCTGGGGCTCCCAGAAGGACCTCATGCTCCATGCTAAGGAATCTGAACTTGACCTTGTTAGTGATGAAGAGCCACTGGTAGGATTCTAAGCAACAGATGATTCTGTCAGATCTGTGTCTTAGAAAGTTCGCTCCCACAATGGGGTGTGGGTTAGGATGCCTGTAGTGGGAGACTGGAGAATGGCTGCTCAATGAGAAACACTCTGCAGTGAGACAGGTGAGAGACGAGAGGGCCTGAGCCCTCTGACTAGGAGCAGAGGGAGATTCGCCTGGACATGGTGATTGATGATGCAGGGAGCAAAGAGGATGAGGGATGTCTGGCTGGTGACACTCTTCACACTCTTCACCCTCTACACCAAGCTGGGGAGCAAAAAAAGCAGGTTTGGGAAAATAGAAAGAGTTAGGTTTTGGATGTGCCCCATTTGAGGCATACTCCGTGGAGTCATTCAGTAGAATTTGATCTCTATATGAGCCTAAAGCTTAGGATGGGGGCAGGGTTGGAGACAGAGATCAAAGAGCTGTCCCCAAGCAACAACTGATAGCCATGTACTGGATGAGAAATTCCAAGAGATCCAAGAAGTTCCCAGAGAAGAGGCCACACTGGGCTCTCCAGCATTTAAGAAGAATCATGATCATCTGAGAGTCAGGAGAGACCTGGGAGAGAGTCATGCCACAAAAAGGTTCCCACGCCCACAAATTACTGCTGTGATATGAATGCTGGGAAGCAGCGTCACCTCAGCCCACCCTGTCCCACTGAAAGGCCAGTCTTTACGGCCCCCTACACCCAGACAGGCAGACACTGTGCTGTGGGACCCCGATCCAGCCTGGTGAAGGAAGACCTCCATGAGGTGGCCCGCATCACTTGTCTTTCTCTAGTAGGTTAACAGAAAAGATATAACAGCCAGCCCCAGAGTTTATTCAAGTGAAAGCTCTCTTTGTGCAGAAAAATACTACCTTGTGCCTAAATAGCCTGGGTGGGGAAGGGAGACATTAGCCTGTAAGGCAAAGCCGAGGGACAGTTGGGCTCCTATGCCTACAAAGTAGACAGAAGTCCTGAAATGGGGCCAAAATTGAAAGGCAGAAAAGTGGAGGAGGCTGGAGAGAGAGGAGGAGGTGCAATGTACACCGCAGAGGAAGCCAGAGCCTGCCGAAACCGAAGCCAGGGAGAAGCTTCCAGGGAGAAGCTTGAAGACTCGAAGGCTCCTGATTGCCCAGACTTTCATTTTAAGCCATTTGCATTGGTGAGAGGCAAACTGCCAGCACTGCCACAAACCTCCAGCAAAGGCTTGGTTCATGTAAACGCCTTTGTTAGTGGTTTTTGTTTCCTGGTTTTTTTTGGGGGGTGGGGGGTGGGGAGTTGGGGGGGTGGTCAAGAAATATGGGCCAAATTCCTGACCTAAGTTGGCAGAGCAGAACCCAGGGGGGTGAAACATAGCAGTGAGTTCAAGGTTGAGAGGAGGGTAAAGCTGACAAAGCTTCCTGGAGATTCTGGGGAGATAATGATTTCCACCACATTAGGATGAGTTGTTGATGTAAATTATACTTCACAGGATGGGGGGACAGCCCCTCTGCCTCTGAGCTACATTTGTTTTTCGTTTCCACATTGATTAAGGTTACATGATTTGTACAGTGCTGTAAAAAGAAAGAGAACTGTTGGGTTTTACTTCACAACTTAAATGCTCATTTACTACCATGTTTTATAGAGTATTATGTCACAATTCTGACACCCCCTTCTTGGAAGGTCAGAGCCTTAAACGGTAACATCCTCTGGGCAGTGGGTGGGTATGCACGCTGTAAGGAAGGATGGATACAGCAGCTTCAGGCCATGGTTAAGCCACCCAGGGCCACACACTTGTGCGTAGGGGCCTGATGCGTTTCGTCATGCCTGACATCAATCATGTGATTGATATGTTCATTCCTGATACAAATCACATGAAGTGAGGCATCTGCCAAGTGACAAATGAAGCCTGAGAGAAAGGGACTTACTTAGGAAGGCAAGAAAGAAGACACTAGTTCCTTTGGGCTCCACCAAGAAGGACCAACATGGCTAAGGACGATATTATTAGTTGAGGACTAAACAAACATGGAGCCAAGTGGCAACTCAGATTGACTGGCTGTGGCTTGCCTGTTAAGAAATTCACAGCTGTGTCTGGTCTCAAGCAGAAAGGGTGCTATGATCAATTAATTTAGTATGCTGTGGGGGTGGGAAGAAGGAGAAGAAATGTATGTGCCAAGTATTTTCCATCCCTGGCATAGACAGGAAAAAGGGTGTGTGCATTTGGTGGGAGGAATTATAGAAAATCTTCTAAGAGAAAGGTGAAATCTGAGCCCAAGGAGAGCTACCTTGTTTCAACCATTTCTAACCTCCTTGAAATGATCCTCCCAGACCTATATCTGGATGTCCTGGGACCCACCGAATTTCAAGATGAGAATTTCAAGAGGAAAAGAGTCGTCAATAGTGCAAAAGCTGTTGAGAGGTCCAAGAATATAAGGGCCAACACGATTCCCATCTGATGTGGCAACAAGACGAAGAATATTGGGGCAAAGGCTAGCCTGCAGAAAAGTAAATGGGCAGTGAGGAGAGACAGGCTGCATGGAGTTTCAAGATGCCGGGCACTGCTGGTGGTGTGGGGAAACGAGGCACTGTAATATCAATTTTAAAAGGCGGATAAAAAATATCTACATGCATTATAATCTTAATTATGTTCCTATTCATAATATATGAATATATGTAGTATGCACTAAAAAATGGGAAGGAAATACATGAAAATAATGGTTAAAATGGTCACGTTTTGTTCATTCTCTTCTATATATTCTAAGATCATTTACAAATGATCATGTGTTATTTTTATCATTGGGTAAGAAGCACGGGAAATTGTTTTAGGAATAAGCTTGGTTATTTGGGGGGCGGGGACCAGTCAGAAATAGTTTGTGAAGAGAGTGACCAATCATCCCAGTTTGCCTGGGACTGAGGGGGTTTCCAGGATGTAGGGCTTTCAGAGATAAAAGTGGGGAAGTCCCAGAAAAACCAGGACAAGTTGGTCACCGTAGCTGAGAGGCTGAGACCAATGTAGGATTG